CCTCCTCCTCCTCCGCCTCCTCCTCCCCCTCCGCCTCCTGCTTCCTCCATTTCCTCGCATTCATATTCCTGCTCCTGCTCCTGCGCCTGCTCCTGCTTCTGCTCCTGCTCCTCCTCCTCCTCCTCCTCCTCCTCCTCCTCCTCCTCCTCCTCCTCCGACCGTAGCCATTTTGGCTCAAGGAATTTACCCCACGAGCCTGGGAAGCGCTGCCAAGCCCAGGAGCGCTGCAGAAACGCTTGCAGCTCGGATCTCTCTCGCATGGCCAAGAATGCTTGGCAGCTTCGCAGCAATGGTGGCGGGGCGTGGGCGACCCAGGCACCCTGGCGCGCGGGATCGGCGGCCAGGGCTGGGCCTCCGTCGGGCCAGTGGGGCACCCAGGCCGACGGCGACGGCCACTGGAGCTGGTCACCCCCCCGCCAGGACACTGTGTCGTGGTCGGGCCGCCGCTGGCGTTGCGAGGCATGCGGATGCAAGAAGAACCTCGAGGGCTGGATCGCTTGCAAGCACTGCGGCGAGATGCGTGCAGGACCCCCCAGTCTCGTCGGGCAGGGCTGGCCGAGGTCGGGAACCCACTGGCCTGCCCTCAAGCCTGCGCCTGCTCCTGCTCTTGGTGGCCCTGGCGGTGCTGGCGGGCATCCAGCTGGCTCTTCCTCGGCCCAGCTGTCCGAGACCGAGCTGCGGACGCTCATCGGCCTGTGCGAGAAGTCTGGCGACGGCGAAGCGGCCACCCGTCACAAGGCTGCGCTCGACAAGCTGCTCCGCACCTCCACTCCTGCCCCCGTCCAGCAGCGCGCTGCCAAGGCCCACAGCAGTGTGCAGTACTGGGAGCGTAAGCTGTCCACGGAGCTCGACAAGCTCACCAAGCTGGAGAAGCAGGTGGAGGAGCAGAAGGTTTCGACGGCGGCGGCTCAGCAGTCCTTGCAGGCTGCTGATGACAACTACAAGGACCTGGTCCGCGAGCTGGCTGGGAACGTGGTCGATCCCACCCCCGCTGAGCCTCTCGGTCGTACCAAGGTGGATGTGTCTGAGCTCATGCAGGGCTCGTGCAACGTGCTGGATATGGTCTCGTTGGACTCGATCTTCCTCTTCGACGAGGGCGAGTACGAGGTCTCCGACGACGACAAGGAGCAGATGGCAGCCCGACGTGCAGCGCTCAACGAGCAGTTCCGCGAGGCGTGCAACTCCCTCTTCAAGGGGGCGCTGGAGAAGGCGCAGTCTGCTCGTGATGAGCAAGCAAAGCATGTTCAGCGTCTTGGCAAGAAGAGGAAGGGCGAGGACGGCGCGGCCGTCTCTGGTGGCGGTGCAGGGCCAGGCCAGGCAGCTGCGGCGAACGGCGCTGGGTCGGGCCCCGACGGCCGCGCTGCTTCCAGCACTGCGGCGGGCCCGCCAGTCGGCGAGGCGGCCAAGCAGCCTGGTGAAGCTGGGGATGCACCACCTGACGTTCGCGCACGTGCTGAAGCAGCCCTGGGCCCTGCAAAGTGTCATTTGCCCCCTCCCGCGTGACTCCGCTGTGAGCGCGGGCAGGGGGGCCCATCACTACATCTCTTCCCAACCTTCGTTCTGTGCAGTCTTTAATCGAGCGGAGCTCGAGGGCCGCCTTGCTCTGTCCATTCGTTCTCTTGATAAATATATAGCTGCGCTGTTGTGTTCCGCCAACAGTACCCGAGGCGCCTGTAAACAGGGGGACTTTTGCAAAAAGCGAGCTGGTGTTCAGCCCAATCTTGCGTTTTCCCCTGTCGGCCCGCAGGCTCCTCTTCCCTCAGGTTCGGTTTCTCGGCCTGAAAGTTTTGAAGTCTTTAAGGCCCCCCCGGCCCCTGGGGGGGATGCCATAAACCTGAAGATAGTCACATGCAATTGCACGGCCTGGAGTTCTGCTAAGGATTGGCTCTTGCAGACGGCGGCGCACGTGGTGTTGCTCCAGGAGCACCACTTGCTCGTGCACCAGATCCCAGACGCTCAGCGCTGGGCCCTTAGTCACGGTTGGAAATCGATCTTCGGGAGTGCTAAGGCTTCGTCAGACTTAGGCACTTCAGGAGGTGTGGCTATTCTAGCTCGTTCAGGTCTGGGCCTCCATTGGCCCCCAGGGGGTTATGTGGTGGAAGACTATCGTGCCGTTGCTGGGGTTGTTCATGTTGGGGACATTCCTCCCATCCTGTGCATCTCCTGCTACCTGTCGTGCTGCGAGGGTTTGTCCGACAGAAACTTGGCCCTGCTGTCGAGGATCGGTTCGATTGCCAGTAGCAGTCTCAACAGTTTTGTGATCGGAGGCGATTTCAACATGGAGCCTTCGTTGCTAGACGACTCCAACTTCGTTCAACAATTAGAGGGCCAGGTGATCACGGCCGGTTTGTCCACTTGTCTTAGCTCAGCTGGTGGGAAGGTCTATGATTTCTTCGTGGTCTCTGGGGGCTTATCTAAAGGTGTCAGGGATACGTGGGTCGACAGGTATGCTCCGACGTCCCCTCACTCGCCTGCGGGGGTCGATTTCCATGCCAGGTTAGCCGATCTTCGAGTCCTACAGTTCAGAAAGCCTCCTCCTTTGCCTGTTGAAGTTCCTGTCGGGCCTGGACCTGCTCCCCAGGACTGGGATGCCACGCTGGTTTTTGCTAATGGAGTGCTTGACTGTGCCCGTCGGGGGTCTCTGGACGCTCACTATGGGCTCACCGGCTTGTATAAGCGATGGGCCAACCTTGCCGAAGCTGAGCTTGCCGATCAGCTTCAGGTTATGCTCCCTAAATCCGGGTGTCGAGGTGAGATCCCCAAGGTTTGGTGGGTTCCTGTCTTGGGACGTGACCAGCGTCCCGCTCGGCATCCTGAACTATTTGTATGTAGGTGGCTCTCGCAGAGTTTCAGGGATTGGACTACTTCTTGGAGGACCTTGCATGGTTACTATTCGGGCGGGATCCCTATCGAGAGTGCCAAGAAGGTTCTGGAGTCCCCCTCGCCGTTCATTCAGAAGCATATGGGGTCTGGCGCTATTTTAGAGGCCCATCGTAGAGTCTTGGTTTTCATTGGGCAGGACGAGGTCACCTTGGAGGCCATAGGTAGCGTGTCCATCGAGTTAGCCGACTTGCTGGACTCGACCGCCAAGGCGGCTCGTGCTGCTGGAGAGCGGTCGTGGAAGGAGTGGCTTCTAAGGGACATTGACCAGGGTGGTGGCCGCAATGCCCATGCCTGGACGCGTCCTGTAGAGGCTTGGGTTCCCTCCACGACCCTCAGTGCGGCGGGCCAGGTGGTTTCTGATCCTCGTTCCCTTCTGCGCGCTGAAGGGGAACGCTTCCAGAAGCTATGGCTGGCTGAAACCGAATTGTTCGATTTTATGGATCCCAAGCCTTATCAACCCTTGGAACACC